CCAGCGAGGCCGCAGCAGCGGGAGGGGTTGGGGAGGGAAGGGGAGACCGGCGGCCCCGGAGGCTCTAACGTGCTCCCCTCTGTGCCCGCAGGCGGTGGCCCCCGGGTGGAGATGGAAGCGAATGCCAGTGACGAGGGCATCCATTTCCAGAGCTACCCTTTTGACTTCTTGGAGTTCCTGAACCACCAGCGCTTCGAGCCCATGGACGCCTATAACCACGAGCACGCCAAAGCTGTGGCCGCCCTCCCATGCCCCCAGCCCCAGTATGACTACGCCCAGCCGTCCAACAACCCCGCCACCCCCCCTTTCGACCGTGCGGGCACCTCCAAAACCAAGGATTTCAAGGCTGAGGGGCAACCCCCACCGTCCTCTTCCGCTGCCGCCACCTCTGGTGCAGCACAGCCCAAGAAGGTCGAGCCAGGCACTGCAGTGCCCCCGCCAACCCCACAGTACGCTACCCAGGCTGTGCCAACAGCCCAGCCACTCTTTGACAGTGCAGGCGCGTTCAGCGCCCCACAGTGGGGCATCGTGGACCTGTCGGGCCACCAGCACCTGTTTGGCAGTCTGAAGCGGGGTGTGGCAGGCGTGGGTGTAGCTGCAGGGACAGCATCGGCCCCACCAGATGGGCAGGCTGGCAAGGATGACAAGAACTATTTCCGGCGGCTCAAGTATTTCATTGACCGGCGCTTTCCATGCGGTGTGTGCCAGAAGTCATTCAAGCAATCGTCCCACCTGGTCCAGCACATGCTGGTGCACACTGGGGAGCGCCCCTATGAGTGCTCCACCTGTGGCCGCACCTACAACCACATTTCCAGCCTCATCCGCCATCGACGGTGCCACAAAGAGCCTGGGGGGGCCCGCCCGCCCCCAGCCACAGTCACGGCCACTGCTATAGCTGCCCCCACTGCCGCTCCACCACCTGAGGGCACCGCAGAGCCAGCTGGGGAAGGGGCCCCTGGTGCTAGGGCAGGTGGAGGGGGAAATGCTGGGGCAGCCCAGCCAGATGGCCCCTTCACTTGCTCCCTGTGCTGGAAGGTGTTTAAGAAGCCAAGCCACCTCCACCAGCACCAGATCATCCACACAGGGGAGAA